AGCACAAACCCGGTGACACACTCCTGCTTCCTCTTCAGTTCCTTTAATCACTCTGAAACATGAGAGTGTTTAAGAGAGATCATAAAAACAACATACTTTACAACAGAGTGAATATAGCCTTTATCAAGAATGTGCCTGTGTCATGCTTTTTAAGGTCTCTTTTATCTGAGCTGAAAACAAAAGCTTGATCTTTGGTTTCAGGGGCAGGAAGTGTGTGATCAAAAAGAGACGGCCGATGTAGGATGGTCTAGATTTCAGGGCTTCACCATTAGCGATTAGCTTATCTGGATAGGCGTAACTGCTGTGTTATTCTTCAGAGTGATAACAGTCTGATTGGTTTCTCTGATGTTGTAGATGTTTCCCACAGTATCATATCCTTGACATGGGGATACTTAAACACTTCACAAGTGGCTCATTGACAAAGAGGTTACAGTATGAGTTCTGTTTTGTGTAAATTCGTTCAGCGCATATGAATATCATGGCAAAAGTAAAACATAGGCTACTTCAACATAAGCCAGAGATTTCTTTAATAGGAACATTGATTTTCCTGTTGCATAAACTAATGGACTAACCGAGGCATTGCTAGGGTCTTATTGCCATATTGTCCTTGGTTGTTGTGAGGCTCTTTTGGGTTGTTACTAGGTGGTCCAAGTCAAAAGATGGTTGCCAGTGCTTTGCCAAGCAATTGCTAGCATTTTCTGTGTGAGTGCTAGGTGTCTCTCCCTAAAAAAATCTTATAGTTATGATGTACCGACTCTATATTGTTTCGTACATGGATTATCAAAAAAGAAAAAGTGTAGGGTGGGACTTGCTTCTATGCATCGGTTGTATATTGGATAGATGCAGATCTGAATGCAATGCAATAATGGCAACACACATGTGACGAATGGGGCGGGGCCGAGAGCCATGGGAATGGAGCGAGGCCGGTGGAGTAATTGATAATGAGACGAGAGAGGACCAGGCCTGGGTTTTATGTTGTTTTGTTTCTGTTTGTGCGCGGCAGCTGTCCGTGAGGGGCTGTCGTGCTATTTTAAATTTTGTGTTTATTTTATTATTAAATTATGTTCCGTGGGAACGGAGCGAGGCCGGTGGAGTAATTGATAATGAGCGACACCTGCGCCACTCACCGGTCTCGAGTCCCACAGAGGAGCTCCGGAAGGATAAAAGGAGGAGTGACGACAGTGTTGGACGAGAGAGGACCAGGCCTGGACTTTATGTTGATTTGTTTCTGTTTGTGCGCGGCAGTTGTCCGCGAGGGGCTGTTGCGCTATTTTAAGTTTTGTGTTTATTTTATTATTAAAGTTCTGTCAGGACCACTATCGTCAAAATGATAGATACTTAGCATAAAGTTTGGTTTGGCGGTATGGTTCTGTTCTGGGCAAAAACTCCCTGCCCATCCATGCAGCCTGTCATGAATGAGCAGGGAGAGCAGCAGTAATAACCCCCCTAGGGTAAACAGAACAGAACAAGGCAGATATCATTAATGTACTTAATGATATTTAAGTGTAACACATTATACAAGATAAAGGAGTCTGATTCAGCGAGGAATATCAGAAAGCTAAGTCCTGACTGTGGCGAAAGGAGGAGTTGGGGATGGAGGAGGGTAATTTGCTCCTGAGCAAGCGGAGAAAGCTGCTGAATAATATTGAATAGAGCTTATATATGAATGCTGCGATAGGTGTCGTATTCCTATAGGTAGATGTGGTCAGCTGAGAATCAGCTGATGCAAGCTTGACTCACGTGACCTGCCAGAACTCTAATTTATGTTTGAATGTTCGCTGGTTCCCGCCTCCTTCTTCCCGACCTACGAACTGTGTTACAACACACTTGCCAACTTTGCAAATGGTTACCAAAAAATATATATATTTTCTAATGTTTCCATTATTTTTTCACATTTTTTTTTTCAATTTTTTGATAGTGGAGAACATGGCCACATTTACACTGCAGGTCTTGATACCCAGTTCTGATTTGTTGAATATGTCAGATTTTTTTTGACGACCAGCTTATATCTTCTTTTAAAAGTGACCCATATCCGATATCTGCATTTACACTATACACTTGGCAAAATACAGCCAGTCGAATTGCTAAACAAAACTAGCCCAAACTCACCCAACTGTGTTTTTTCTGTGGTTTCCCCCTCCATCAAAACTCTTTCCAGGTGTTTTGTTTTGTTTTGTTTTGTTTTGTTTTGTTTTGTTTTATTTTATACTGGCATCTTATTCATTTATTTCATTTCTTAATCATTAGGCGTGTCACTGTAATACAAACTAGATCCTTTCCCACACTGACTACATGTGTATATGTGTGATAGATGACTGCCTTATAGCCAGCCCTGAGCTTCAACCAATTAGCCAGTTTAAATTGTTATTGCCCTCTGTCATTCCTTCAAAACCTGCCTGCCATTTCTCTTTCTCTGTCTCCTCATGGCATGGGAAGACTGGAAACTATTTGAGGAGAGATGTAAATGAACGCAATAAAGCATCCCACTAACATTTGGGAAATAAACAATCATCTTAATACCAGGAATGACTGACACATGTTTTCTGTAAAGTGATTTTGTAGTGAACTATTATGACTGTCCATTTCTATGAATCTGAGACATGAATGCAGGCTAAAAACTAAAAACTGAGACAGACACTCCCACACATTTATCGTCTTATAGTAATCTAGTAGGTATAGTTGTCATCTTAACACACACACATACACACACTGTGGAGGAGCCTGGCACGCTCTTGGTGGGATTACTTGTGGAGTTGCAGTGTGTGTGAGGGCAAATTCTCATGGGAACTGCAGAGACGCTGGCCTGTTTTAACAAATACAGCGTGTTTACCACACAGGCTTATTAGAGAGAAAGCCTGGTGTCGAAATGAGTGGGAATGTTGTATTGTGAAGGATATTTCAGTCCCACTTCATACACAAAGATCAGAGGACTGCATTTATAGAAGCGTTAAAGAAAAAGTTCACCCAGAAATGCAAATACTGCCATTATTTTCTCAAACTCATGTCGTTTTTTAGGTGGTACACAAAAGTTGAATTTGTGAAGGATCTTTACACAGCGCCAAAGAACGACAGTTCTGGGAAGAGCTGCTTGAGCCTGCTTCCCGTCTATCAGGGAATGTTCTCAGATCTTTGGCGAACATTCTGAACAAATGTTCTTCCAGTAACATTAATAGAACGTTCATTCAAAGTTATCTGGTCTTTAATAATGTTGTTGAAACTTTAGCACAAAAACTGGTAAATGTATAGCCTACAGCAGGGCTGTCCAAACTCGGTCCTGGAGGGCCGGTGTCCTGCAGAGTTTAGCTCCAACTTGCCTCAACACACCTGACTGGAAGTTTCTATTGCTGTGTCCTAATTCATAGGCTACATCCTTCGAAGTGCGCATTTGAAGGCCGATTGCGTCATGGCGGCGCAACGAAGGCTGTCCCAATTCAAAGCCCGCTTCCTTTTTTTTTTAAAATTTTTTTTATTGAATCACTCAAATTCAACACTTTACAGTAGCCAGGGGGTGAACACAAAGAAAAAGAGATAAAAAATTACAGTGAAATAAAGAGAAAATAAAACATAAATTACATAAAAACATGGAAATGTTTACATACATTAATACACTTAACAGCTTTCTTGTTTATCAAATTGTAAATTGATTTTAGGTATTGTTTAACTTCTGATTTCAAAATGAGAAACAATGGTTTATAATTGCCGTACTTGCATTTATGTATACTAAGCGTTGCCAGCAAAAGTAATAAATTAATCAAATAATATTCCTTATGGAATGATAAGTCGTAAGTGAAAAACACAAATAAAACATTTTCAAAACAAAGTTGAAAGCTGGGCATGATATGATCTCTAACAAATGAGCAGAAATTTGACCAAAAATTGACTAAGGACAACTCCAAAATAAATGAAAAAACGTTTCTGTATGTAGACCACAAAATGTACATAGTGTATCAATATCACAGTTAAATCTGTTTACAAGGAAAAAGTTACTGGGGTAATATTTATAAATGAGTTTGAAAGAAATTTCTTTTACTTTATTTGAAAGAAATTTCTTGTACTTTATTTGTGATTAAATATGTATGAGGTAATTTCCAGATTTTATGCCATATCAAAACATCAACACAGCTATTCCAGAAAGTTACAATAGGAGGTCTAGAGACAACATCCCTTTGAAAAAGGGCCCGAACCTGTCGATTATTGTGTTTAGCAGAGGAAGAAGAAAAACAAACTCGACCAACAGCAGTGTCAACAGGATCAAAAGACTGCAGAGAAGATTGGGGACATGTATTTTTACAAAGCATTTTTAAACCAGAGGGGACAGCATCCATAACTACAGCATATTCTTTAGGAAAGCTCGCTTCCTACGAAGGCTGCGTTTGAAAGCCTATTGCGTCACTGCGGCGCGACGAAGGCTGCAGCAATTCGAACGCGACTTCAAATGCGTCCTCCGTTTCTCCGGCAAATGAAGGATACATGAGATGGATCCTTCGCAGCCTACCCTATCCCAGAATTCATAGCGTGCCGGTGACGACGGGACTTTTATTCAAACAAAATAGCGGTGATGGTTCTGTGGCTGCCAATCCATTTATGTACATAATAATCAATAATAGAATAAACAAAATCACATGTTGGTAAGATATAAGTCGACATTTAATCGCTTTATATTTTTTTATTTTTTCACGTCATTACAATATTAAAGTAAGTCTTACATTTAAAGTGTAATTCGATAATTCAAAGTCAAAAACTAATAAGGCTAGACTCGGAGCGTCCTTCGAAGGCCGTGTCGGCCGCATCCTTCGGAGGACCCGTCCTCCGAAGGATGCGGCCTTTGAATTGGGACACAGCTTATGCCTAGTAAGAGCTTGATTAGCTGGTTCAGGTGTGTTTAATTAGTGTTGGAGCTAAACTCTGCAGGACACCGGCCCTCCAGGACCGAGTTTGGACAGCCCTGGCCTACAGCATTCATGGAACTTTTTTTTTTCATCTCAGTTGGAAATTTGTCGAACAATTTCTGAATGGTAGTACTTGTTTCAGAACGTTCACATTCAAAAGTAACATTTGCATAATGTTTTTAATATGATAAATTTGAATGTTCCCTTACCCTGATAGCACACAGAGACGTCTATCTGACGTCTGCATTTACTTGTACAAGACGTATTTTTTAGAGTGTTTGCTCAATAGGCATCTATAGGACGTTTCCTATCATATGCCAGATAGACGTTTAGAAAATGTCTTCAAGATGTTATTTAGAATGTATGACATTCTATAACTGACGTCTTAAAGACGTCTATCAGATGTTTGTACACAGCCGATGCTTTCCAGATGAAGTGATCTTCAACAGACACCTTGCAGACATACGTACATAAGCATATAGACAGTGCTATATAAGGTTCGCAAAACCAAGAAAAATTTTTTTTTTAGAACATTTAAAAATACTGCACATTTTGAATGTTTAGAGAACATTAAGAAATAACGTTTTCATAATGGAAATGTTAGCAAACATTTCTTAGAACATGTTTTTGTTAGCTGATGTTCCTGACCTACACTGTGTAAATTGATCAGTTAGCCTACAGGTGAGTAATTCCAGTCGTGCCAGTGGATCGGAACAGTGTGGAATGATCTTATTTTTAATGTTGTAGTATCAAATCCTCCAAAAGCTCCACACCCTGTCATTAGTGTCTTTAAAGAGATAAGACCCAGATGCTGCACATTCCGGGAATTATAAAAGATAGTCACAGACTACGGCATACACAGTCATACTGAAATGCTCTTCTTCTTCCATGTCAGGTATGTAGACTGTCATTACCTTTTATAAATGTTTTTGGAACATAATGCAGTGGAGCAAAATGCAGCGTAGCTACACCTTGTTACACAGGAATGAAACACTGAGAAGCAGAGAGATTTTATTGTAAACAGTCAGCCAGCTGTGTTCTCAGATAGTTTTGTATCAAATCAACGGTTTTTGCTTTGAGTAACTTAAAACTAGGCTAATTCATAGTTCATACAACAACCTGAAGCACATTACAGCCCTCTATATACAATGTATAGGCCTAGGCTACTGCATAATATGCTAAGCAGTGCACTAGTATTTCCTTTTAGACTCTCTTCTCTGTCCATAATGGACACACTTTTGCGCATCACCTTTAACGTATCACATCTGCTCACAAGGGTGCTCACTAACACGCTTGTGAATGAAGCTATAACGTAAGTGAATAGCTCTCTCTGCTGGTTCTACATAGGTGGGACATTTTTTCCCCCAAATGAAAATCCGCCTATTTGATTGATTATCTGTTGGAATAAGGATATCACGACGAATATTCATGTTTTTAATACTTATTGATTTTTAACCCTTCATTAAGCCTCTTTAAATAACACACAGGTATTATCACCTACAATAAATCCAAGCAGCATAAACTGAAAAAGAATATACATATACTATAAATAATTTAGACAGCATGCCACAAAATTTGGAACAACTTTAACAAATTTACATATGCGTAAATAAATCAAGCCCCCTATTATTATATTAATAATACAGGTGCGGTGCCTTTAAAAAAAATATTATTTTATCATGTCCCGAAGTAGCTTTTTACAAATAGTGCGATACAAACCCCCAGTGTGTGACCCAAAACAACTTCCTACAGTTAATAATAAAATTTAATAATTAAAACAGCATTTTAATGGTTGCACTGAATTGAAATATTTTAATTTTTAAATTTTCACAGTAATATTTTTAGTCAGGACAATTAGCGGCTACCTACGTCTCCATCGTCAGGACCCAAAATGGTGGCGGCGTGAGTAGAAACCAAAACCTGAAGGTGAGTGAGTGAGTGAGTGAGTAATTATAGAAATTGCTATAAGCATGTGCACATTTAACATGTTATCACCTAACAGATATTTCATTTGTCAACCCGCCTATTTGCTTCTAAACCTGTCAAAATGATAAACGACAGCGTTATACAATATTACTGCGTCTAAAATGAATGAGAGTATTAATTCACATGTAGAAGAGAGACCGGGGCAAGTTGGCACACTTTTTTAATCGCAATGATTGTGATGTCAGCTGCCTACATCAATCTCTTCCCCTTGTTCCACTGGCCTGGCATTAGTTTATTCGTGTTTTTCATGTCTTCTAGTTTTTATAGACATGAGTAAGCTCCGGAGCTTTTGGCATAACTATAAAGTGCTGATTGTTATGGGCTCTGGCCTTGGGATGGTTCACTGGGGTTGGTACTCGATCAAATCCAATCCACTACTGAAGAAGAGCAGGGAGGAATATATTCCCGAACCGGGCATCGTGTCGTACGTCGCTCCGTCCCCACCGCCTCTGCCGCCTCTGCCCGAGAAGAGCAAGAAGAGAGCGACCAAAGACAAGGAGTAACTGCTGCTGCTGCTGCTCAACAAGGTGGGAAGAGCTCAATGTAATCTGTTAAAGGGACAGTTCGTTCAAAAATGAAAACTATGTCATAATTTACTCACCCTGAGGGACGTGGTCACTAGTGCTGGGCGGTATGACCAAAAATTTACATCACGGTATTTTTCAAAATTATACCGGTTCACGGTACATGACGGTATTTTTTTTTTGTGCATGACCGGGTGTTAACCATATTTTCTACTGATTGAGAGAGGAAATACTGCAGTATATTGACTTAGAATGCCCTATTTTACTGTCATGATGAGTGAATATTGTCAAAAAATACCACACTAAATAGTGACTAAACACGACCCCTTTTAATACATGTTAACCAGGAGTCACTCTCATTTATATCGCGGCGTCGTCTAATAAAATCAACATGCGTCTACACTAAAGAGAGGCTATGCGGTTGTTTTGGCTATATTACTTTTTTGTCTCATGCAGCGCACTGCCTGCGTGATATTAACAGACGAACTACGCTCATATTTATAATTCCAAACAATCAGTAAGCGACAGGTGCTTGGAAACGCTGTTTTGTACTCATTTATTGACGAATCGGATATTGTGGATGAGTTCTTCTGTGTCATCACGTTCTATTAGTTCTACAGCTTCAGTTTCGGAACTTTCACGCTTAGTAACACATACAGCTGTTCCCTCACCACAGTGCAACAGTGAAAAGGGACCCCTTTCAAACAGTGTCGCGTTCCCAACGTTGTTTAAGCGACATACACCGGTATTGCGGTATTTTAAAAATTTATATCATAACAAAAATAAACACCGGTATTCGGTATGAACCGGTATACCGCCCAGCACTAGTGGTCACTACAACCTTGAGCTGTGAGCTGTCATTGTGATGCTAGAAGATTCTTCAAAGTGTTTGTTTTCCATGAGAATAAAGTCACACTGGTTTGGAATGAAATGAGTGAGTAAATGATGACATTCAGGATGACATTCATTTGAACTGCCACTTAGATAAGTGTGTGTGATCTGTCCTTGAGCTCTGTTATTAGTCACTCAGGTCACAATTTCTCATTGTTTACACAAGAATATGAATGAACACATGCTGTTCTTTTCTCTGTTGAAAGTGTGTGCATTTAATCTTATCTGTAAAGATTACAGGAACATTTCTTGATAACGTCAGATTTGGTCAAAGTGTAGAGAGTGCGATTTTTATGATTTCATTCTCTATTTCGACAGGGGGAAATGGCCTTAATGCGTCCAAAATTTGAATTTGTTATATTTATGTTTTCATTTAAAGTTTTCACAATTTTGTTGTTTTTATTCATTTTTAAAATGCCTATGAAGTTTTTATTCATTTTTATTTATTTTAGTACAAGAAAAAGAAAAAAAATTGCATTTGCAACTAGCCGATGTAAAATGTCATTTTTTTCATGTTTTATTTCAGTTAGCATTTATTTGATTTCAAATTACAAAAATGTAGTTTAACTACGATAACCCTGTATCCAAAGCACTTTAAATTCACTTCAGAACTGAACCGTGACCATTTCTCTTTTATACATGGCTGCTAATGTTTTTACAGGTGTCACCACAAAAAAAGATACATTTATTTTTAGGTTATTTATTATGTTTAATATATATAAAACATGCATATGTAAATATGTATATATAATGATATATTCAAATATATTTTATATATGTAAATGTTAAATATAATTTATTATAAATGATGTTTAAAATGTATTTATGCATTAAATGCATTTATTATGCATTAAATATATACATAATATATTAATTATATTTTTATATATATATTTATTATTGATATAATTTAATTACTCTTCATTGTAATTTTAAATTTTTTTAAGTTATAATTACAAAGAATATTGTGTCATATCTTTCACTCAGCAAATAATTTAAAAACGGTTATCGTTTAGGTGAAATGCTCTGTTACCTAAACGTTTGTTATAAAAAACATTTGTTACCTTAATTTGCAAATATAGTGGGTTTTACCTTTATCAAGCTATAATAATAATAAAAATATTCTGACAAATCCTAGTTTGTACAGTTGTTTAACTCCAGCCCTCTATAAGTAGTGTCATTCAACAAAAAATGACAAAGTTCCCAGAAGTCATTCATTTTCATTAAAACAACAGCAGCTGTTGGTGAAGTTGAGCGGAGTTCAACTTTATGCAAATAACTAAAGATCACAACACTTTGAGCAGCTGCTGATGTGTCAGTTGATTAGCCCTTTCTTTCCTAACGTTCTCATTTGCATTTTGCAGGTCCTCCTCTTCTGAAGACGTTAGTGTACAGCGAGGACAGAGAAGATGAGGAACCAGAGCTGGCTGAAGAAGAACTGGTTTTGGGTTGCCGGTGGTGCATTTGCTGCTATTCATTTTGGCACGTGGGTCCTGCAGAAAGCGATGAAGAGTTCGGTGCAGACTGAACAGCAGCTCAAACGCAGGGATGAGTAAAAGCAAATAATTTATGCATTTGAGGGATTATGGGGGTTGTGTGTGGTTTATTACAGTTAATCTAAGTGCTTTGTTGTCTGTCTAGTGACAAATTAAAAATACACACTTTGCTTCCGATGCACACATATGAGACAATGTCATCTATGGATATCATTTGAAAGTAATATATATTTTTTTTAATTCTGAAAGTGGATGTGTTGCTAAGAAATTCTGAGTGGATGAAGCATTTAATGAGGCCAAAACATACAGAAACACTTGAGTTCGCTGGACTTTGAACAGCAGCATTGCATGTTTTGTTTCATGTTTCTTAAGCACCTGTGACACTCGACCAGTTATGGTCCTTTGATGAAGTCTTTTGACAAGTCTGTGCAAATGGGAATATGTATATAAATGACCATTCTCCACTATGCACAGATGTATACATAGGTTTTTAATGGTGTATTTAAAAAAATAAATACAATATTTCAGAAATGTTCCCTTTGGGTGTGAGTAGGACTTGCAGTAACAACATCAGGAAATAGTTTTTCTGCTTGTAAATTTCTGACTTTGTTATAGCAGGAAAGGGATCACAGCCTTTCTTGATTTAGGGTAATCTTTAAATCTCTCCAAGTAATACCTGTGAAGAAAACAAGGCATTTACTTCCAGGTTTGCACAAGGCTTTATAAAAACATAAACCCTTTATTATAATCCAGAACATAACTTTGTGTACCAGATGCTGGATTCCTTACTTGAAATAAAATAAAATAGCAAGCACCATTAAAAGCTAATGCTGGTGTGCCCTATTGAGCAAAAACATTTCAATTCAACTTTTTATCAGTATTTTTTGGTTTCAAATCAGTTATGTTTATATTTAAAAATACAGTAATCTAAAGCAGGTATCTTTAGAAGGCTGCATTTTAGAACAGCCTTCACATCTGAGTGTGAAATTGTAGGGCCCTCACTAGATTTCGGAGCAAAGTTTGTGTCAGGACAGCACCTGTGATGGTGGTAGGCTCGAGGCCCAATGGAGCAGATAGTGAATAGAGCAAAGGAGAAAGCAGGAAAGGACCAGCAGGCCACAGCGTATCCACACCATTCAACGATCTCCCCAAAGAAGTTGGCACCAGAGACCAGCTCAAACATTCCTCCTGAAGAGAACACAATGCGAATATATAGTGCAGAACTGAATTCAGGAATAAGGAGGTTCAGTCTCACTCAGATCAATCTTTTTAAGAATATGCCTGGGTCGTATTACAACGCCAAAATCAAAATAATAATTTGAGACCCATGGAGAATTTTTTTTTTGAATTAATTTTATTTTATTTAAATATGATTAATGTTTATATTAATTTAATATAATTATTAAAATTATATATTTATATTAAAACAACTTTTATTAAAGTTTTAAAAATTATTAGTATTTATATTAATTTATGATAATACTTATTAAAATTATATACATATAAATTACAATTTATTATACTATATCAAATATGTGGTCATATATCTATAACATTATAAAATTATATAATAAGTTATAATTATATTGATTTATTTTCTTACTTTTCCCCACATAATTATCCATGAATCCATTTGACTGAAGAATATAACAACATAATTAATCTCATCATAATCAAAAACTGACCTCGAGGGATTTTATAGCTGACCTCTCCTGGTTTCCTCAGGTTTCGTAAAATATAGTCGCTGTGGATGTTGATGGCCATTCCAGTGAAAAACATCAACACACCTGGAAGAAACATTCATTGAGTGTTTTTACACTGACATTCATTGATTCAAATGAATATAGTTCATCAAAAAGATCTGGTTGTCTGTTAGCAGCATGTACAGTACCAGTAATGAAGCGCGTGTCTCTGTGCCATCCGCTGTGGTACTGAGTGCAGTGGAGCATGTGGTGACCCTGCAGAAAACCGTTCACAGAGCAGAAGACCACCGCACTCACCACAATGTGCAGAGGAGACGGCCGGCCTTTAGTCAGCAAGGAGAATACAAAAGTCCTGCAGGAACACCAAAGAGTGTGAGGAAACAGAGAAATCAGATATGTTTTCTGCTTTATATTATCGTCTTGTTTAATGTGATTTTTCACAGCTGAACTTGTCTCCTTTCCCTTTTGTCATTGTGACATGGGAGAACAATAAGGGCAATTTACTCAAAGAGGCTTCTTGTTTTCTGTGTTGTATCAGGAGCCAGAATAAAAGATCCAGATAAGCGAATGCCTTCTTCCCCCAGTTTGATAGGATCTACACAACACACATAGGTTTTTACTGTATTCTAACTGGTGTCTCAAACCACACTAGTATTTACCTCAGCTTGCAGAAAAGCTTAAATAACTTTTCATGTGACTTTTTTATTATTACCACCTCTGTTTTGAGTGGTTGTCAGTGTATGTTAAAGGTAGGCCTAAAAGATTGTAGTACTTCAGCAGGTTGGTATATTAACATTATACAGTGGGTACGGAAAGTATTCAGACCCCCTTAAATTTTTCACTCTTTGTTATATTGCAGCCATTTGCTAAAATCTCCGTACCCACTGTATATTAATGAAATATGCATTTTTGTTTGACTGTTTACTGTACATTTAAGCTTAGTCGGTAAAACCAAATATGTAACGTTCTGGCAACCACAGCTGCTGTTTTTTCGTGTCTGTGGCAGGATGTGTATTTCAAGTAAATGTAGCGAGTAGTGAAATGACTGTATTCTCTCTTATGCTGTTTCAGCAGAGACTTACAGGATATGTTTGCAGAAAATTGTATGTTCTGATTTGTAGAGATTTGATTTGATAAGCTTGATGTAACAAGATTATGTAAACAAGATTTTTTTTTTCATCAGAAATGTGGCTAAAAATAGAACTGAAAACTAAGCAACCTGACAATTAGGCAAAGTCTTGCAAGTCAGTTCACTCTTCAGCCATCTTAATTCCCCGGGCCGCTGTTTTCTATGTTTAAGCATGCAAGCACAGTCCTGTCTAATTGAATTGGGCAAACTTAAATAGTGTTATTTACATACTGGCATTTAAAAAATAAAATGCAAAGAATACAGGAAATATTGCTTCTTTAGCTAAAATCAGCATGTAAACTGTATTTTTCAGACTGGCCAAGCTAATGAGGATGCATTTCAAATGAAAAATGAGATTAGAGAAAGAGGTACAAGGTTACCACAGTGCAATTCACCCTTCGCTGGGAGTTTGATTGACAGGCGAACTGACCAATCATAGCGTCGAATTTGTCATTTTGTCAACCAGACAGGAGAACAGATTAACGTCGGTGGACCTGGACTCTTTGACTTCATATCCTCCCTTACGTGTGTTGTTACAAATGATTTTTCCTTCCTCTTCATTCTACTGGACTGAGTTGCACCATAACTGAAAAAGAAGCTCTGCCTGTAAACCTGGCTAATGACATTACCAGCTCAAGTTTGAGAATTTGTACTTTAGACATCCAAAGTACAAAGTACATTTGTACAGGTCATCATGACTTTATGCCACTTTGTAAAATTATAAAGATTGAGGCAGTATATTTCAAATATAGTCACAGCTGGAGATGGACAGTCCTAACTCAAGTGTGAAAGCAGACGACAATCACTATACAAACAGCTATTTTCACATACCTAACTCTTATAAAAATCAGCTTAACAGTTTTAGGTGAGAGGTGTCAGCCTTGCAAAAGAAAAGTGTTCATTTTTTTTCTGTCACTTATAGGCTAATATATATTATATTTTGACTATATACTTGTAGTATAATTTTCAGTACAGTTTACAACTCTTTACAGACCAGATAGTGAGTCTAGGTTATGCACCATTTACTTTCCTATTGCAAAACTCAAAACCACAAAAACGAAACTATGAGGTTTTGTATGTTAATCTCTGATACAGCTGTACTTCTTTTGAACATTCTTAGAAAAGTTCCTTGCCAGTATTAATTAATCTGGTTCTTGTTATGCTGTTGTTGGCATTAATGCACTAGTCTATATGTGAACTGTGAACATCATTACCTCTGAAAGTAGTGCAAGCAAAAGGTCCAGAGCAGTAAATGTCTTCCTATCCCCGGCAAACTTTCTGTTGTCAAATACAACAGCACAGGAACTAGGAATGATGGAAGTTCCTGAATAAACCATCCTGTCTTGGCTGGGACCATCATTCCGGGGGATTTTGTGTCCACATAACGTCCGTACGGCGTGTGTGTTGTCATTTGCCGCAGGAGGTGAAGCACTCCACAAACTACACATGCCCAGCTACAATAGTGAATAGTGTTTTCCTGGCAAAGCATTGCTGCTTCTCTGTATGTTTCTCAATGCACTGCAGTGTTACCCTCTCACTATTTTGACCTTTATAGTGAAAAGGTATTCACCCTCATGTAAAACCCTTGGGTTCCTCCCACCAGATTTTATTGGCTCCATATATGCATGAAATGTAATATCCATCTGGGTGAGAGCAAATAAACATCTGAAGTCAATGAGTGACTCCAGTCATAAAGAAACACATGAGCGCACTGAGACATTGGGATTTTTTTCCTAAAATGCTCCAGTAAAATATATTTTTTTAAAAGAACTTCTGAAACAAAACAAAAAACCTTTCATATGCAGTCACATGTAGTTTGAATGCTCGGTCTGAAGAGATATTTGAAGATTATGAGCTGTTGCCAGGGTGTTCTGGGTGTTTGCCAAGATTTTCTAGGTGGTTGATGGATGACAAACTATGCAGACTTTCTTTCTGAATTTATTCATCCATTTCAGACGGGCATTTATAATAATACCTCTTTAATCTTTGTAGATTATTTTTTTCAGAAGGTAATCAAACTCTTAACAAGTGACTATTTAAAAGCATACATTATTTAAATCATAATATTAAAAATAAATAAATAAATAATATTTAAAATACTTTTTTCATTGTCTCAGACCATATTATGGTACGATAAATGGTTAAAATACTACCACTACTAAGAATTATTAATATTATTAATAAGCAATGGTAATTGAACTTTATAAAGTACAAATGTATTTTAAGATTATTAGCAGAATCTTAGAAAATAATTAAGCAATGCATTTAATGTGTCAATATCAAAGACTGTTAAGAATGCCTGTTGGTTGAAACAAGTGAAATTTATGCCGACAGCACCTGTTTGTTTGTGGATATTATATGAAGCTTACCACATAACAAAAAAATGTAAATCAAATTTAAATCACATCTTTAAATTAGTGCTGTCAAGTCAAACGATTAATTGGATCCAAAATAAAAGTGTTTGTTTACATAATATATGTGTGTGTATTGTTTATATTTATTATGTATATATAAATGCACAAACATACATATGTATATATTAAAAAAAATAAAAATACAGGTATATATATTTATATTCATATATAATT